AAATCAAAATGTATGTTACGAAATACTACATTAACTCAGTATGACTTAAATTTTCATGGATTCTATTCTGTGATTTCTCAATATTTTGACTCATTTACACTTTGTTCAAATATAGTTTATTATATAAATTGTCGATTACAATGTTATGTTTATATTTGGTATGATTAATTAATTCTTTTATTGTTCCGACGACAGTCTTCTTGTGCTTTTTGATATGTTTACTTTTCGCTGGTCGAAATATTGGCTGATTAAAGGTTATTTATAACATGCGATTGTCATCAGTTCTTCCTTGAGATATCTAAAAATCATGAAACGATTTTATATTATTAAGAGAGATTCCGCCAAAAAACCAAAGATTTTTCTGATCATTGGACGAGGACAAATTTTATTTTTCGATTTTAACTATTCTATCAGATAGGACATTTGTTTTTACCGACAAATCCAAATTTTTACGATTCAAAACCCTTCTAACAAAAATTTGCCCCTCTACTAACTTCGTTCATCCTCCTAGGTGATAATAGGTTATTATAGAAAATTTTAATTCTGCTCGTGTTTTGAGATTTTCTCGAGAACGGCTAAAGCTACCGAAGCCATTTACATTTCATTTGATAGCCCTTGAATAACGCTGCAAAAAAAGATATGTACCATGGGCTACATTTAAGAGTAGGTAGGTAAGGGTGAGAGTGGGATCAACTTAGGTGGAATGGGTAAGATAGGATGAGAGTGGGTGGGTAAGGACGAGGGTAAAGATAGATTTATCATCCTTACCTTACATCTTCACTTTCACTCACCCTCACCCTCAATTTCTTAGAGATCTTTACAGTCATATGCTTATTTTCTTGGGAATAATAAATTTTATGTTAAAAAAATGAATGTTTTTGCTAAAATGTAAAACTTTCAGAGATGAGAATTGATAGCAATATTGAGAAAGTTGTTTTTTTCTTGCTGGATTTATTATTTCACAGAACAGGTAAGTAATTTGACCGAGATTAAATAAGAAGAGAAGTAAAATAGATAAATTGTTAGAGGTTAGAATTGTTCACAGGACAGAAAGGTTCATATCTTCGAAATGTTGATGATTTGACCGACTAGAATCAACATCAACAGTATGATGACGTTTGCATGATATTTGATAGTTCCATTCTTTGAAGCGTTGCCATTGCAAGCAGAAGAAGATGGATTGACGACGCTGATACGCTGACTATCAGAGCTGAGCGTGCACATTAGCGTTTGACCACTCATTGTCAAAGTTGTTGTATAGCCAGATGGATAATCAATGGAAATAGTGATTGTAGTCTGACTACCACATTGTCCACTTAAACCGGAGTTGATCGTCATATTACTTATTGTCGGACGTGATATAACTACTTGTCCACTCAGACAACAACAAACGGCAGTGTTGCATGTCGAATCAGTTGTATAAGTACCAGTCCATGTTTGTGAGCGAGCAATATTGATGGTAAATGCCAAGAAGAAGAGAGCAATGGTTGGTAGCATATTGTGTGTAGAAATCGATATGAAACTGAATGATGAAATGAATAATGTATTCAATGTGATGATGAGGGAAATACTCTCTCGAGGGTAATAATTGAGAGCAAATGAAAAATAGACCCTACCTCATTCATCTCACTTTCATTCTCACAATGTGTTCGAGAAAAGAAAGAATAAAGTTATGAATTGTCGTTGAGACTACTAAAAACTAGAACTTTTTGAAGATATATAATAGCAGACTCTATTTATAATATAGAAATGAAAGACAAAATAGAACAGCTTGGAGCTTCTCATGTTTCGAAGGCTTTATATTGAGATACACAATTAAGTAAGAATGAAACATTGACTGTTATTAATGATCTATAAGATTCAAATGCTTCTTGAAAACCAGCAATACCATTATCAAAAAAGCATAGAATAGAACATAAGAAAAGTATATTCATCGTTCGCGGAAAGAATATTAAGAAAAGGTAGCCGAACAACGTTTCTTTATAAGAAAAATGAAATGTCATTTTAATCACACTTTTTCTATTATGACAAATGAGAATGATTTTCTTCTTTCTTCGTCTATAAGAATCAGTGAACATAAACGAGTACGAGAGAGTAATTATGCCTTTGTTTTTTATTCGCAACGTTAGTGTGTTGATTCTTACAACGCGCTTCGCTTCCTTCCTCAACTGTCGCATACTGACAGACAGCTAGAAACAGAGAAAATGTGTATTTTAATCAATTACTTGAAGAGAAAACTCAAAACAAGATATAAGACGACGTCTATTTTTTTCTACGACTTGTAGTAAGTTTTTACTCTAGGTTAAACTTTAACAAAGAAAGAACAATTATGATTGTTGCTGGGATGCAAAGCTGGATCGAATTGACATTGCACATCTGGTACAATACTGTCGGTGCGATCAGGTTAGGTTTGTAACCAACGAGAAAAGTTGAATATTACCATAAAACAAAAGAGACGAGTATATGACACTTCAAAGAGAAAAAAAGTTAGTATAATTTTTTTCTCTTAAAAATCATTACTTTTCTTTTTACTTACTGCGATGTCGATGTTATTCTCTTCCTTTTTTTTCTTCATCTGAATTACCTATGAGGCTATTTTGGCTCATAGATAACTCTGTTGAATGACGAGAATTCTGTGCTGATATTCATGCTACAGTTAACTGACAATGAGATGATCGATTTTATTTGTGCTATGCTTGATGAAAATGTATCCCAACTAAAAATTTTACTAATACATAAACATTCGTAAATTACGATAATGTTCGATGCACTCACAACTTCAGAGAATGAATGAACTGCTTACGTTACATAAAGCATGTACATCTATGTTGCCCGAAACAATAAAGTTGATATACCAATAAGGCTTGGCACTATGACATAAATGAAAGTAGTAAATGGAAAGAACAAGATGATGATATTAAATGTGATGTATATAGATTAGAATGTCGAGATCTCTGTTCAACTCGAACTATAAGAGTATCAAAGATTAAATTAATATAATTTTCGACCTGATATTAGTGACCATTATCGTACATTGTATCATAGTCAAACAAGATGAAAGAGGATACCACAGATAATTATTCCTTAGGTTCTTATGTAGATGTGCCATAACCGATCGGTCGAGATGGCTAATAGATATACTGTATCCAAAAATTGCTTCTAATGATGGTTTCCTTATGAAGAAAGCAACGTCGCAGTCCGCTCCAGAAACACTAGAAAGATATGTTTTCAAATTTCATCTTGATACTTTGCACAGAGACAAGCCTGAGTGACAGTGGTTTATTGTGAAAGCTTCAGATCTTTTCCTTGTTTATATTCTAAAATATGGCTATGATAACAGGATGTTTGTCAAACTGTTTTGGCGCAGAGTTCCAAGTCAAAATTCGAAACTTATTTCGTTTGGTATTCTTGGTGGGTGCCACATCATTAACCAATTGAATCTGGGATTATTTTTAAGCACTAAGATTTGTTAAAATTTCAAATCAATGTTTATTTTTTCAAAAATGTCATTAAATATACGATTCAGAATGCTTGTAGAGTATGATAGTCTTTAAAACAACCTATTAGACACAATCCCAAATCACACTCGATACATTCATACGAGGTGTCTCTTCTAGACTTGACTCTTCTCACAGTATGAGCACAAATATAACACTTTCTTTTTGGATCTGTTTGAGTGACTGTTGATACAATGCGTGAAGGGAAATGTCGTGCTGTGAGTCGGAGTGAGTTTTCAGAAGTTGGTCGACTAATCGAAGTTCGAGCCTGGCTACCATATTTTCTAATAATTTCTCGAATCACCTCTAGATGTCAAGGAAATATACAATATTTTGAGGTCAATCAGGTTTTCGTGTAAATAATAAGAACAAAATAGGTATATACATATATATCAGTCACAAAGAGAATAAGCATACTCGAACGTTCCTCGAAGAACATACCAAAGAAAAAAGAACCCATGAGCTCGAAATGGATGACCTTGGTGACCTTTTATATGAAATAATGCACTCTGCATTATTCATCAAATGCGATTGTTCGATCAGAATATTTCTTAGAGATATCATGCTTGCACGACTTTTATAATAGGAAATATCTATTTGAGAGCGGCAGTTCTTTCTCGAAAAGTGGTAGCAAACTGATCCATGTATTAACTCATTAAATGGTATACTGTTTGTCTGAAATGTTAAAGGACAACCAATAAACATCAGCAGGTATAAATGATCTTAACCGCACAAGTATTCTAAACACAAATATTCATACAATCCATAGCATTAAACAATCAAAAGATCATGCTTTTTAAAGGTATTCAATGCACAAAGGGTGTGGGTGTGGATGTGAGTGTGGGGTGCGGGTATGGATGTGGGTGTGAGTGTGAGTGTGAGTATTCATTTTCTGTATACTCACACTCACAGCCACACCCCACCCGCCCACACCCACACCCACACCCACCTCACTCCCACACCCACCCCACACCACACCCACACCTACACCACACCACACCCACACCCTATTTTATGATCATCATCATACTTCTAGTAGCATCTATTTCTATAACATCTAAATATCTGGTTTTGTTCAATAACTTAGTTCCCATCAAATGAGATATTGCTTCCAAAAATCGATCTGAAAATAAAGAAGAAAATCACTAGACCATGGACAGCGTGACAAAATATCAAAGCATTGGCCAGAACTTTCTTATCAAATGTTCATTAGAATTTCGAATATATTGTTTTATGCTCATCCGAAAATTCTAACGGCAATTTTTGCAGAATATAACTTTTTCCATCATGCTACGAAAGTACTCAAATAAATTCAGAATCCTTTCTAAAAACAGTGTGGCAGTTAGAACGATGTCTATCTTTGATTCAGCAATCTAGTTTAATGCATATTGTTAATTATTAAAGAAACGGAATGCAATAAGGAAGTACAAGTAAAATTTCACTTGTGTAATATGGAAAGAAAAAGAGTAAAAAAATTAAGTCTATCGATGATGAAAAAGGCTTTTAAGTATTGGGTGCCAATAAACGACGAAGAACTGGATCGTTTTTGCATCTAAAAGAAGAAAATGGTGAGTGGCTATTTGCGAGCATTGTCATATACGTACCCAGCTATGAACTCATATTTGTTTAGTTTTTTATCTCCACCAACATCAATTCTGCTAATGATTTCGGCAGCACGCTTCTTAGGATCATTATCTCCTTTTCGATCAGTTTCACCTCGTAGATCATACTTAAAATAAATATATTTTGGCTAATGATAAAAAGAATAAATAAATATAGATGTCATACTGCAGCGGAAATCATCACAGCCAATTCTTTTCGATCAATTTGTCCATCATCTGAAGTATCGCAACTGAATGAAAGAAAAAGTAAATGTAATCTAACTTTATTAAACTCACATATCGAATGCAACTTCGAGTCGATCATCTAAATCACCTTGAGATGTAGCAGCAACAGCAAGAAGATATTCATTAAAATCAATCACTCCATCGTGATTAGCATCAAACATGGAGAAGGCAAGCCTGAAGTAAGAGAATAAGACATGATAAAATCGAAAATAAACCCGTTAACTTACTGGCAGTAACTATCTGCTTTGCCGCCTGAATAAAACTTTTTATATGCTTCAACGAATTGTTTTTTGTTGAGTTTTCCTGTTGGAGATTCACGAAGAAAATTCTAGAAACGAAATGGCTTTCATAAATACAAGTATATATACAATTAGTTACAGCGTGCCACTCTCGAATTTCTAAAGAAAAACGAATAGAAAAGTTAAATTACACCAACGGTATTGTTCTCTTGCCTTTCTCATTGTATTGAGTAGTCGCTTTAAGCATTGCAATTTCTATGATAGAAAATCATCATAACAATCTTAATCAAAGAGGCAATTAACTAACGTTTAGGTGTGAGCTCCTTTGGTACTCCTTTTTTGGATCCTTTGCCACCCATGATTAATGTTGTGTTTTGTTGATACTAGTGGAAAGATTAACAGAGAAGAAAATCTGAAAAATAAATCACATGAAGAGTTATTGAATACTAAAACACCATAGATGCTGACATATGAGTGCAATAGGAAGTAGAACCGATAATTCTTAGTTTTCATACAGTATGTTCAGCGTGACTGATACCTAGTGTTTTTGACCATTACATTTGGTTTGTTGTTGATTATAATCGATTATTTTCCAACGAGAGTGTAATAGAGTGATGAAACGAGAATGCATGACTAACAGTTACTTTCGATTTCAGTTGAAAACTGGTTATAATTGCTGCATATTCGTATCCTCAACTCATGACGTTTTTACTATAAATTATATATAATGACTGCAGTGAATGATAATCGTCATGTGGTAGAAGAGAATAAAAGCTGTAATTAAGTCATTTCAAGAGAAAAAGTATCAATGTAACGAAGAAAGATAAGCTTATGAGTAACCAAGGAAAAATAGATCGGTTATTGGAACATGGCAAGTCATCAACAAAGATGGCTAGAGATAAACACAAAATGTAGAAGTCTAGATGAAAACAAAAATAGACATACACAACGAAATTGAATGTAGGTTTACTAGGGTCGCTGAAATGAACAGTCTTAGTGATACCTAGATCCTACGAAGCAAGATCGCATCATAGATTGTACTTTCTTATGTAGCTAGGATTGAGAATATAAGATTTTTACGGCCAGTATATCTCGTGGAATGAATAATAGTGATATCAACATTGTTTAAAAACAATGCGAAATGCTTGTTAAATGCAGCTGTTAGAAGAGTAAGCAGGAAAGATAACAAGACCTCACATGATAACTAATTCAAGTAATTTTGAAGAGAAGATATCCAAAAATACACTTACATAAAACTAGAGTATATAATGAAATAATTTTACTGTTTATAAAGCATTAGAATATAATTTCAGTCGAAGTCTTTTTAGTTCCAGTTGGGTCATCAATGTGAATCTTCTTTTTATTCTAGTTCCATTCTTATGATTATGTTGTTATCTTCAGAAAGTATCCTATGAGCATTCTATTACAAGTAACGTGCTTTCTTCAAATTTCAGGCACCGAGAGATAAAGTATTCATTCAGTGCATGCATTTGTTGACGTTGAACAACTATATTTTCTATAATACATAAAACAAGATTCAAAGTATGAGAACTAGAAGTAATTACGCCATCTCCTGTCCAAAAATTTAATTTTCTCCACTCTGATGTTTATTACTTTGGCTACATTGGACAGCAAAAGCGACACGTAACTGCTTAAGATTTACAATATTCCTAAACTAGAACATAAAAGTGATGTCTATGATTGGTTATGCTTAAGAAATTGACTGATAGACGTATTTCCTTGTAAAAAGTTCTCTGATACAGTTTTCCTACAGTCATACTCATAGCTTTTGAAATTTGTGAATAATGACAAGACTCACTTGCTTGACGTCATTACTTGTCAGACAGAACAATAATAAGATAATTGTTAAACGGTTTTAAAAAAAAGAAGCTACTGCTAATGTACGATGAAGTTATAATTCTTACCGTCAAAAATCAGTAAAAGGAAATATTGTTTCAAATATGGCGCCAAAGATTAAACTAGCAAAAACAACTTCAAAAATAACCGAAGTATAATTCTTAGCTTAATTCAACTATACACAAATAGAAACTTGTCAATATAGAATGTGATCGTCGAGCAACATACATCGGTGAAATATAAGCATGATTAAGTTAACAAAAATCACACAACGCAAAAAAAAGAAATTCAAACTGATGAAAACTATTCGTTGTGTTTTGTATTATACAACATACTCACAACAGCCATGCATATATACTCAAAACATCGTCGATTCTCATTAAAAAAACATAAATGCGTTGTAAGAAAGAAACGACAGAAAGAAAGAATTTATATATACAAAGATTATTCATTTCGTTATTCAACATGACGACATAGATGAAATCAAGTTACCTAGTGTACATAAAAGCCATGAGCCAATCAAAAAGAACATTCAAGGTTAGCAGAAACTGTCTACGAAGAAAACAGATGGCGTTAGTATAGAACAATAGATGAAAATACTCATGTTTAATTGTTCAGTATTATTACCTTGTCATTCCATTCTACTATTAGAGAAAAAAATGAAAAATTAACAGATATATCAATAGTAAAGTATACATTCAAGTTCATTTTGAAAATAAAAAGGATATGAAGAAAACGATACAAATTTCTCCAAAAACATTTTCAAATAATAAATAAGTATTAATTGAACATCAATTTGATTACAATCTTAATAGGATGTTGTCTCTTCTTTCAGAGACAGGTTCCTCCATTTTCGAATTGTTCAGTTTCTATTGAAAGTGATCAGATTCTTTATTCTAGATATCTTTTTAAGTAGACAGCAGAATTAGCTGGTAGAAAATTATTTAGGCATTGCAAAGCCAAGAGATTTCGATTTTTTTCGGCATAAGATTGATGAAAAGTGTTTCGAGTGCATATAGAAAAATTTCAGTTTCATCAATGCTTAGTTATAAACTCTTCAGCGATATAAGACGAGACACGAGAGCGGTTTTATCGATGAAATTTCATCTCGATCAGCTGCAAGCACTGACTCAATGATAACGATATTATGGGTGCGGGTATGGGTGTCTATTCTCTTCAAACAGACTCACGCCCACACCCACACCCACAAAGATTCAACTTTCATCAATATAATACACAGCATTTTCATATAGTTTTATATGTATGAACATTATTTTTGTTGATGATAGAATAAATGAAACAAAAATATTCATTAAATGATGAATAGTATGATCACATCACAATATAAAGAATTTTTACCGAGAAGAACGAAAAACATTCTCAGATTATTATTATATTGTCATTTTAATAAAGATATAAGAGTACCACTGTCAACTGTCAATTCTAATGTCCAATGGATAGGACGAATATTGAAAACTTCTTTCTGTAAAATGGCGACGATTGTCTAAAATGATAATTATCAAAGAAGATATATATCAAGTTTGTGAAAATAATTTTCTATTCTTGATAAAATCGATTATGTAGATATTGGTATGAAAATCATAAAAAAGAATTTGTTCTCGAATTCGTATAAAAGTGGTTTATGTTATTGACTCATAGTTTAACGACAGCACTTAGACCATATTAAAAAAAAAAGTCATAGAACAGAAAATATATTATAAAAAATTCGAATTTTAATATTGTTATTTAAAACAATCAATTAAAAGAGGGAGATCACTATAAGATAATGACTTCCTATATGAATCATTTGGATGGTCAAGTCTTTGACTAGATGTAATATGCGTCGATATTTCTCAATGTACTTGCATAATTAAACAACGTCATGATTAACAATCCAAGAAATAGAAAAACATATTATTATTGATTTAACCCTTTAGGGACGGGGTTATTTTTAAGGTAGTTTAGGGTGCAAGTGCTGAAAAATGTCTAGCAGATAAACAAAGCGGTGAATCAATTGATGGTCTTCCGATAGAAATTCGTTTTTGATAACCATAGTTTGCTATAATATTATTTTATCAGTTGAACACGAAACTCTTTTAACTATAGATTCTTTGAATTTTACGTTTCATATAAATAGTGTAGATATTTTCGATACTTTCCGAATATTGGTAATTTACTGAATCGATACAAGAATATTATTCTACAGGCTATTTCTACTCACTTCTGATTGATTTGAAATATATACCATTCTCAAATTTTGTAAAATACGCTGATTATGAACTTGTGTACGATTTAAAATTGAATCATTTGAAGAAGAAAATATTAAAAACTAAATAAATGCATTCATCTTTCGTTAATTTCATCTCATATTTATTTTTCACAATTTAAAAACGCTTTAGTAAGAATGAAGTATCAGTCGATGAAAGTATTTCGAAAAAGAGTGAGTATTATTCCAATGTGTGAAGCATTGTAAGAGACTATATTCATATTTCTGATGGAAGTAACTTTTTCAAAGAATTTCATAATGTTAAGTGTAATTACGTGCTTAACGCATGTTTACATCTAAAAGCAACTGCATGGATATCCATATCTCGTCGATCTAGGGATAAGTAGATCGACTTTCGATGAACATTACTAGTTCTTTTTCTCGTGTCACGAAAAATAAATCATTGTAATGTAGTTTAGATTTTATTTCAACAATTTATGAATCCTTTAACAAATAACACATCTCCTCTGCACGAACAATGGAAAGAAGAGAAAAAGAAGTTTTGCTTTCGCTCACATGATAAGATTAGATTGATTGAAGGCACAATGCTCGTATTACCACCATTTTTTTTTCTATTATCATCATCGATGGGCACAAGGACGGTATCATTTGGATTAGATAGATTATCGTGAAAGCGAGAGAAAAGACAAATGTTTGTTCTCATTCATACGATGAGGCCAATGTAACACAATCATTTTATTGTTATTGATCAAGCGTTAGCATCATTCCCATATATTACCCTCGCTTCTTCTTTCTGTCCATTGTCATTCGATGAGTAAATAGATGTGAAAGAATGAAGAACGAGAACATGAAATATTTTTAAACTTAATTTTGTTTCAGCTATCCTATTCATATTGAAATCTGATCCGAACAGTCGAGACGAAAAATAAGTTATTACATTCATTGGATGTCTTCGCTATTGTTGCTCTTAATCTCTTTTATTATTAAAGTATATGCCATTGATTTATATGCTCCATGGATCATCTCAGCTGGTCCAACCTATGGCTCCTACAAGTTCAACGTTCTCCAACACCTTACTGCTATTTCTCCTTATTTTGAATCTAACTCCGAGGGACTAAGTCCTGCTCCTCCTCAAGGTTGCACAGTCGATAAAGCCGTCTATCAGGTGCGCCACGGCTCTATTTACGCTAATGGATATGATTACAAGCACACTATCCAACCATTTTTGCAACATCTCAAGAACTCGTCTGGTTATGTCGACTTTTCCAATTCGGC